GCTAGAGAGTTGATGAAACAGGATTACAGTGTGGTAAGACTGTTTCTCTTTGCTGTGCACACACCTGCACTATCATTCAAAAATAAATAAATAGGGCCAGCAGGTGGTGTAATAATTAAGCATTGGACTCCCACATGGCCAACTGCAGTTTGAGTCCTGGACCTGGTGACTTGCTTTCTCACTTTCCCTCTCCCTGTCTCTCCCTGCGGAATTAAAATAATAATAATAAATTTAAAAAATAAAATAGGGGCCAGCAGATGGCATAATGGTTACATCGCTGGACTCTCACATTGCCCACGTGGCTGACCGTGGTTCAAATCCTGGACCCAGAGGCTTGAAACTCACCCCGGTCATGTGTGCATGTGTGCCCAAAATCCTCAGAGGAGAATGGAGGAGAAGGGATTGCAGCATGGCCATCTCCCCTGGGGGATAATTTCTTGCTTTCTATCTCTCGTATCTCTGTCTCTCTCAGGTGAGTGCAAGCACCCTATGGCAAACATCTCTCTAAATTAATTAATTAATGATTAAAATAAATAAATAAACCTTGATTGGGCTCCTTATTCCCTGCTCTCATCGCCCATGCTGTCACACCTCCCTTGCAATCAGTCCCCAGCTAGCATAACCGGCACCTCTGGCTAACCCTCATCCCCCACCCATGCTCCTCAAAGTTGCCCAGTGTTTAAGTATCTGTAGGTTAAGTGTGACCAGTTCCCTTCCCTAGACTGTCCGGTGTAGCCCTATCTCCAGCAGCACAGACTGCATTGAAGGTGCTGGCGCTCCTGCACATTCCATCCTTTTCACCCCACCGCACCCCTGCACATACCAGTCCCTCTGTCTGGAATGCCTATCCCTGGCCCGTCTGCTTACATGTCCATTTCCCCAATAGAGCGTGAGCTCATGCTTCTACATCCCATGCCTCTCACATGGTCCAAGGTCCTCGCAGTTCTGGGTCCTGCTGTGCCTCCTCCTACTTCACTCTTTTTTTTTTTTTTTTTTTTTTTTGAGAGATTTTCACTGTAGGGCGAGTGCGCTCGCCAGACAGACAGAGAGAGACATAGAGACAGATAGCGAGAAATCACCCCCCAGGGGGGATGGTCACGCCGCAATCCCTTCTCCTCCATTCTCCTCTCGGGATCTCGGGCACGCACGCACACGCGCCCAGCGTGAGTTTAAGCCACCGGGTCCAGGACACAAACCGCGGTCGACTACGTGGGAATCCAGCGACATAGCCATTACGCTAGCTGCTGGTTCCCCTACTTCACTCTTCACTCCAATTACGCAGACCTCTCCTCTCCTCCAACCCCCAAATCAGTCAGTCCCCTATCGAGTATGATTTCACAGCCCGTGGAGTCTCCCTTCACTGACTGTTATCTCGCGCCGATTGATTTCACCCCCACATAAGTGACTGCGTGATCAGGGCGCTTGAGGCACTGCATTCCCACATGGCCAACTGCAGTGTGAGTCCTGGACCCTATGGCTTGAGGATCACATCAGGTACATGTACACACATGTCCAAAATCCCCTCCTCCTCCTCCAGGAGGAGAGGGGATTGCATGTGGCTGTCCCTACAGGGAATGATTCTCATGGTCCCTCTCTTTTTCTCTTTTACAGTGTGATGAGACGCCCTTTCTCTCTCCCTCTCTCTCTTTCATATATACGCCTGCACTATCAATTTTTTTTTTTTAAGAGAGACATTTGCTATAGGGTGCATGAGCTCGCCAGAGAGAGACAGATACAGAAAGCAAGAAATCACCCCCCTAGGAGGGATGGCCATGCACAATCCCTTTTCCTCCAGTCTCCTCTTGGGATCTTGGGCACTCATGCACACACACCTGGTGTGAGTTTTAAGTCGCCAGGTTTGGGACTCGAACCATGGTCGATAACATGGGAGTCCAGCGATGTAATCATTATGCCATCTGCTGGTCCCTGCACTATCAATTTTTTTTTTTAAGACCGTGTGATGAATAGGAGTCTCTCTCACAAGAAATTAAGCTCCACAGAAATAGGGATTTGGTCTGGTTATTTCTTTTTTTAAATAATTATTTCATTTTCATTTTATTTATCATCATCATTATTATTATTTTAATTTGACCAGAGAGAAACAGAGACAGAGAGAGGGAAAGTGAGAAAGCAAGCCATCAGGTCTGGGACTTGAACCATGGTCGGCCATGTGGGAGTCCAGTGCACTCAACCTCTACACCACCTGCTGGCCCCAAGACTGATTATTAATAGATATTTGTTAATGGATAAAACAGTTCTGGGTTTGTTATGGTCAAATGCACAGTTCAAATCCCAGACCAGTGGTTGGGAAACACACTGTGTGTGTGTACAGGGATTGTTACACGTCTATCCTCATTGTGTGTGGGGGTGCTATCTCACTTCTCCCTTTCTCTGTCTCTCCAGGAAGCACAAATGTCCTGGGGAAAAATTTAAAAACAGCACAAAAATCACACACAGTTCTTTATTTTTATTTTTTAATTTTTCACTTGCCAAAGAGACAGAGAGAGAGCGAGCGAGCGAGAGAGAGTGAGAGAGAGAGAGAGAGGAATGCAGAAAGTGAGAAAGCACCACCTAGGGGAATGGTGGCCATGGTTTATTCCCACTTTGCAGATGGGAAAACTGAAGATCAAAGTAAAATGACCATTTCAAAGCAGCACGGTTAGTGGTACAATTAGGAATTTGGTCCGATCAATGGTAAAGCTAATAAATAAATAATGATAATAATAATAATAATAATAATCAGTGCTGGGCCAGCAGGTGGCATGGTGGTTAAGGTGCTGGATCCCACATAGCTGACTCTGTTGTTCAAGTTCCAGACCTGGCAGCTTGAAGAACACACTGAGCACACGTGTATGCATGCCCAAAATCTTAAGAGGATAATGAAAAAGGACTGCAGCATGGCCATCACCTGTGGGTGGTAATGTCCCACTGTCCCTTTCTCTTTGTCTTTATCTGTCTTTCTCAGGCAAGCACCATACAGCAAAAATCAGAAGAAGAAGGGGAAAAAAAGTCAGTGCAAAGTGCTTTGTCTTTCAAATAACCAATGCCATCCTTCATTTACTGTATATGTTTTTAAAAATTTTGTTAGAGGGCACAGGCACTCACCTGAGACGGAGAAATAAAACAGCACGCCTCCACCCGCGGCGGGGGATGATCATGCTGCAATCCCTTCTCCATTTCTCCTTTCAGGGTTTTGGGCACCCACACACATGCTCCAAGTCTGTATTTCAAGCTGTTGGATCTGGGACTCAAACTGCATGGACAGCCAGAAGGAACCCGACGCCTTCACCAGCACACCTCTGGCTGGCCCAAGATTTCCTTTAGTTACAGGCCTCCTGGGAGGCAGGTTGGCAGGGGGTTAAGGGCTGTGAGTTGGCTTCCAACAGAAGATACAGATTCTGGCCCTGTTCACACTCAGGTCCTACACAAGAACGGCAAAAACAATCAAACAAGATTGTGATTTTCATTTATTTATTTATTTATTTATTTATTTATTTATTTAGGAGAGGTTTTTGTTACAGGGCGCATGTGTTCGCCGGAAAGACAGAGAGCAATAGAGAGACAGAAAGCGAGAAATCACCCCCCCCCCCAGGGGGATGGCCACACCGCAGTCCCTTATCCTTCGTTCTCCTCTCAGGATCTTGGGCACTCACGCACACGCACCCGGCATGAGTTTAAGCCACCGGGTCCAGGACTCGAACCGCGGTAGACTACATGGGAGTTCAGCGACATAGCCATTATGCTAACTGTTGGTCCCTGATTTTCCTTTATTTTGTAAAAAAAAAAAAAAAAAGCTAAACAAATGTAAGCTCTTCATGGACTCACTTTTCCTCTGGATACTATAACCTTTTTATTTTTTTTAAAGTTTTTACTATAGGATATGTCTTTGCTTGCCAGAATGATACAGAGAGGAAGAAAGAGAGGGAAAGCAAGAAATCACGCCCTGCTTGGCCACACTTAAATCCCTCTCCTTCTTTCTCCTCTCAAGAGTTTTGGGCACTCAGACATGCACATGTGCCCAGCGTATTTTATAAGCCATTAGGTCCGGGACTCAAACCACATACTCAGCCATGTGGGGTCCAGCTGTCTTAACCACTACACCACCAGCTGGCCCACTATTGACCCTTGAAGGGAGAAGATGCTGCCATTTTCCTCTGCATAACCCACAGCACCTACTACAGTGTTTTGAACTCAGAAGTCTCCATGAAAGTGTGTTGAAGGAATGAAAGGTGAGTGTCTTGGCTTTCTCACTCCTTTGCCTTGGAGTGGCTGGAGAAGGGCTGTCACTCAGGCCCCACCCTAAGGACAGGTTTGTCATAGAAGGATAGTGAAGATGCAGCATTTACACTGGAGATTTGCTCTCAGTTTCCTATCAGACTGTGAGCTTCCCGAGTTGGGTGTAGGAGTCCGTCTTACTCATTTTTGTTTCCACCGCTCAGCCCCGAGGTTGAAAGATGCCATAGACTAGGAAGAAGTCTGAAGGAGCAGACCCCCAGTTCCATGAAGCAGAAACAGCCCAAGTAATCTCTAGACTGCTGGGGAACAAGGTGGACTTAGCAGGTGGAATGGAAATGGAATGGACAGCGTTTTCCTAGAGCAGAGAAAAAGCAACTTCTCCAGGATACAATAAGGAACATTTTCATGTTGGAGAGAAAATCTTTGTATTATTCATTCAAACAGGAAAAAAATGTTGAATCTTGTTACACCCAGCTCCCTTGTATCCATCTACTTAAAATTTTCTTTCCTCTCCAATCTTTTCTTCTTTTTAAAATTTTTTTGTTGTTTTTTAAAGCAATTCTTTCCTAGATTAGAGCAGGAAACAGCTCTTCAGGCTGGGACGATGTGGCTCTTACTGAGAAGCAAAGGGGCTTTCTAAACTCAATTTTCTTTCTTCTCTTTATTGCCCCCCCCCTTCTCAGAAGAGACAACAGAAATAATTGATCCATCATCCAGTACCAGGCCCAGGAGATTTACATGCAAATTCCCCATCTCTTCCCCAGACCCCACCCCCACCCCAGTTTAAAATCCTAGCTGGGAAAAAAGTGGAAGAAGGAGAAAATATTTCTAAACTAGCAGGAACCCTGCGGGCTATCCCCACCTCCAGCCAGGTGAGAGATGCGATGGGGGTAATAATCCAGCACAGTCCCCCCACCCTCAGCCTCACGCATCACCCCTTTCTGGTGTGGAATCACTTAAAACTTCCCTCGTCAGGCCTAAGAGAATCCTCTCTTTACTCAAAACTTGCCTGTCGCTCCCCGCCCCCCACCCCCCACCATTAACTTTCGATTAAGACCTCCTCCTTATGGCAACTAAACTTTACTTTGCATAATTAAGATTTGCCTCGGAAGAAGGGGAAGGGAGAAGCCCAAGCTCTGAGCCATTCTCCTTAACCTTCCCCCGACAGCCCACCCCACCCCCGCCGCAACCCTCCAGCTCCGGGCCTCTAAGTTCCTGAGTTTTCTCACTTTGAGGTGCCACCAAACACAAAGAACCATAATGGGTTCCTTTGTGCTCGCTACGGGGCAATTACATCCCGGAGTCCAGGCCCCTTTAAGAGCCTCTTAAAGCGACAGGCTCTCATTTTTCAGCGGGTTATTTAAGGATGTGTGTAGGGGGAAGGGCGAGGCGAACACCTAGGGGTCTGCTTGTGGAGTGAAGCGAAACTTTTGCCTGAGCTTCTAGAAAAGGCACTAAGAGTAATATCTTTGAAAACTTTTATATTTTTTAAAAGTCTCTCTTTTTAATTCTTAAACGCGCTTTTTCACTTGATTTAAGAAACTGGACTGGAATAGATGGGCTCGAGAAGTACGGGAGTGGGCAAGGATTGGAAGAAACCCTACCCAGGGGAGCGCTTTGGCCTCGGGAAGAGAAGTGATTCAGTGCTCAGTCGCTTGGATCAGCCACAACTCTGGGGAATGTAAACCTCCGGATCTTGCCGCAGCGACTCTGGAGAAATCCCGGGCTGGACGAACAGTCCTTAATATAATAGCTTGTCTCTTTAAAAAGCAAAAGGAGGGGGGGAAAGTTTTGTTGGCATCTGATTTCTGATCTCATTATATTGTGGTCGACCAATCCAGCCCTCGGGGCTGGTCCTCGAGTTCAAATCTGATTGGCTGAGAGCACATTTTGGGTTGGTGCTTAGGCCTCGACGGGGCGGTTTCAAGGATCCCTTTTTTGGGGGGCTGAGGAGAGGGCGGGGCCGCCAGCGGGGGCCCCCTTGAAACCGACTAATTGGGATCGGAGAGGCCGAGGTGAGGGCTGGAGGAGGCACAAAGAAGTCGCTGGGTGGAGAAGGGAGGGGAGAGGGGGAGCTGAGAGGCTAGAGGAGGAGGAAGAAGAGGAGAGGGCAGCGGCGCGCGGTGTCTCCGGCGGCTCAGTCCGACCGCGGCGAGGTAGCGGGCAGGCGCG